AAAAAACTGCCATGCTTTATTTGTAAAGTAATCAAAATAGTTAGATGTACAAAAAAGCACCATGTACAAAGAATACCAGAGGAAGGACATCTTCCTAATTACACATTTCTCATTTAGCATTGCGAGCTGGCCTGCAGGTCCCAACTTGTACTGTAGCTTTATTTGCAAAATTAAGGATGTGGTCAAACTTAGAATATGCTTGGACTGTATGACAGAAATTAAAGTGGACTGCAGATAGAAATTAGATTTGTTTCCATTAACAACTCATACCAACCACCTTATAGCCCTCAGGGGTAAAAAAAACCACACGTCAAGTATCTGAGAAATAATGGAGTGAAAACAGCTCCAGAGCAATATTGCAAGATGCAGGTCTGCTATGAATGCATTTCTGTGAGCTCTTGATAAGTTAAACTTTCCTTTGGGAAAAGAGCACGTCTGTTGGTTAAAACTCCTCTCCCTGAGAATTTTGATAAATTTGTCTTGCAAAGCAAAACAAAGTCCTTTGAACTTCAACAGCTCCAAGGCCAACAGCATTTCAATGTTGTCACAGCCCATCTGCTACTCATGCACCCAGGGTGGCAGGTTGGGTTTTCGTTGCATTTTGGTTGTTTTTTTTTCTTGACATGGATCATCTTTTTATACTCGCTTCATTCCTCTGCCCATCARGCAGGCAAACACGGTCATGACCATCTTCGGCTTCACCTCCACAAGATCTTCTGGAAGAGCATAAACTCTGGCACCAATTCTTCTTGCCATGGACACAGCGTACCTATTCACCATGAAAAGATGAGGTGGTCAGCACTGAGACTGATATGATAAGTCAAATCCTGCCCCATCCAACACAATTTCATCTATTATTTATTAAGATTCAGGATGTGGAACAGTTTAATCATACCACATCCTTTTGTTTTACATTTTTTTCTCATCTTTTGCTGTTTCCTTTTCCACAGTAAAGTGTTTTTAATGTGCAAATTGACCTTTGAATGTCAAGTCCACTTTACCGACAGTTAAAAAAGAATCTTAATTAATATTTGTTAGGGCTAATAGCATATATAATGAAGGATTAATCATGTAGCTTTTACATTTCCTCTTCTGTTTGTTCCTTATGAATAACAAAGTGAGACTATTATCTGCCAGAAACTTTGCTGTCATTCTGCCACTGCAGAACAGTCTCAGAACACACATTTCAAAGGTATGTTTTAATASGCATACTTTAAACTTGACAATCTATGATGATTCAACAAGACAAAAGACATACAAGGGCTCAATTTCAAAACGCTGAGCCACCAGCTGAACACTTCAAATGCCTGAACAAACAGGTGAGAAATGGAGTATCACTGCTGAGAATTGCTGGAGTGGTTCTGCATTTCTCTCAAGCAGCCAGAGTTCAGCCAACTGCTCCCTCCAGTGTCACAGGCAAGCAAGTGCTGTCTGTGTAAAAAGTACTGTGYTAAAAGAGACTGAAAACCACAGCATTTATAAACTGTGCTACTCGAAATACCTGCAGCTTAATTCCAGCACACTGAATGTGCACCCTGTCAATGCAAAACAGCTTTTGAGACAGCAAACTTACTTAGCGTTATTCTGTTTGTCATCTTCTGATAGGTTACCAGTCTTTACAAGGTCATAGTTGATACAACCAGGCTGTATGGCATCAATTAAATCCACAACTGCCAAGCTCGTGCTGATAGTCTTGTCCTGGAGAATACAGGGACAGAG